CACCCTTGCATCGCCGCCCCGTACGTACCGGTGCGCCTGGCTCCCCTTTCCGTCCCTGCTCGCCGCCCACGACCACCCTGGGATCGCCCTGGACAAGAGGGAGGAGACGCTGAACTTGCAGGCCCTGCTGGGTCCCCGGGCACGTCCCTGTGGCAAGTGCCAGGCCAAGCTGGGAGGTGCAAGGAGCACCCAGGGCAGCCCATGGCCCATCACCTACCGGCTCGCCCTTCTCCCCCTTCGCTTTAGAGAGTCCTGTTGGCCCCCCTGGGCCCTGCAAAACGAAACGGTGACGGTGATGGAGAGAGGACGGGTGATGTGGGGAGCGCAAAGGCCAGTGGAGCATGGACCGTACTTACGGGATCCCCTCGGGGGCCAGGGATGCCCGGATTGCCCTGCAAAACACAGGCACGGGGTGAGCGTGTGCCCTGCGTGCACGAGGGGGTCCTGCACGTGCCAGCGCGGGGAGCAGCAACAAGACACGAGGGGTCTAGAGGCTCCAGGCCAGCATGGGGGGATGAGCCCAGCGCTCTGGGTCTGGGGCAGCCCCAATAACCCTGTGGGCTACGGAGAGCCCCTGGAGCAGGGAAGGGAGCAGAGCTGGACTGAGGGAGCAGGCAGGGGAGGTTGGGGGAGCAAAGAGCCCCTCGACGGGGGCCACGCGGGGCTGGAGCGGGGCTGTGCAGCGAGCAAAGCTGGGGGGCACCCGCACTCACCGGCTGCCCAGGGGCCCCGGCGGTCCCGGGGCGCCCGGGGCTTCCTGGCACCCCGTCAGCTCCTGGGAATCCCTGTGGAGAGGGGAGGGTCACAGGAGAGCCCACAGCAGCGGGCATGGGGCTCCCCCAGGGGACTCCCCCATCCTGGGCAGGGTGGAGGAGCAGGTCCCTGTGCCAGGGGACCTCCCTGGTGACCCCAGCACTCACCCTGTCCCCCTTGCTTGGCCGCTCGATGATCTGTCCTGGGGTGCCCGGCGGCCCCACGGGTCCCGGAGGGCCAGGCAGCCCGTGGCGGCCCTGGAGCAGACACAGGTTTGGTGGCAGGTGGTGACACAGGGAAAACCCCCACCCCCCCAGCAGCAAGGGCAGGCTGAGGGCTGCACGGTCCCCTGGCCTGGCCATCCCACCAGCAGGACATGGGGCCCCAGGGGACACCGCTCCTTGCAGGGACCTGACCCTACAGCGCTCGTATCCCCGTTGTCCCCCATGTGTCCCCATGCAGGACATTACCGGCTCTCCAGGAGGACCTGGTGGCCCCACACGTCCTTGTGATCCCTACAGCGACAGAGGGAGCGGTTAGCACACACTGACATGAGCAGGGGCTGCGGGACACAGGTACCCAGAGCCACCAGCAGGGAAGGGGACACCAAAACACTCACCGTCTGGCCGGGGTCCCCCTTCTCGCCCTGCAAAGGGGTGCAGAAGGGGCTGGCGAGCTGCCTCCTGGGGCGCCAGGAGCTCTGCCAGCCCCGGCACCCCCAACCCCGCCAGGCCGCTGGCTACTCACCCCCGGGCACT